AAAATACGTACATCATTTAATCGTCGGCATTTGAAAATTTGGCAATAGAAAAAAGGAAGTCAAAATGGAAATGGAAAGCCAACATGAAAATACTATTGTTAAAGTTAATTTTAATAAGGATCTACTATAAAAAAAATGCCTGAACCGTTTTCAAGGGTCCAATATGAAAAGGGTCTTGCCTGTTTTCAATGAGGTCTATATAAATATGGTTTCGTATATTTACAGGGGTCTCGTGTAAATAGGTCTAGTCTATTTATAAGAACCTAGTATTAAATGAGTCTGACTCATTTTCAAGGGTCTAATATAAAAAAATAGTCTGGCTTATTTTCTAGGGTTTAATGTAAAGAGGGTCTGATATATTTTCTAGGATCCAATATAAAGAAGTTGTGTCCTGTTTGCTAGGATCTAATTTAAAACGGGTCTGGTTTATTTTCTAGGATTTAATATAAAGTGGGTCTAGCCTGTTTTCTAGGATCTAATATAAACAGGGTTTGGTTTCTAGGATCTAATATAAACAGGGTTTGGTTTGGTTTCTAGGATCTAATATAAACAGGGTCTGACCTATTTTCTAGGATCTAATATAGAAGGGGCCTGGTCTGTTTTCATGGGTTTAATACAAAAAGGGTATATGGAAATAATGCTGTCGTCCTAGCAGAACGAATTCGATTCTTTAATTTGAAACCGAAATGGAGTTTCTCATGCCAGACAGATTCTTAAGTAGCCTGTTCAAATCTTGGAGGCTAATTTTATTTTTTCTAGTGTAGCAGTCTAGTTTAATCACTTCCCAGAATGTACCCAAGTATAGTTTAACCTTCTCCAGAATAAGCCCTAAGGTCTGATTAAGGGTAACAGACTTCATATCTTGGAGAATAAAATAGCTAAATCTAAAGTGTACTCGCCTAAACCAGTCAATACCCACTTTAACTGTTTTGCTTCACCCTAACGTTATGTGATGGCTCCCGGTCTACAAACTTGTAATAATAATTGCCATGAACCCATTCAACAATAATCAGGTTTATATGTTTCTCAATTGATTTAATACAGATGTTGGGTAAAAGTGAACAGTATGTTCGTGAATATTGAAACTTTTTCATAATAAATTACGGCTTATAGCCTGCAACACACGAAACAATGACTATCAATCGCAAAAATGGCCGATCTTCAATCGCCATCCGGGAGCTAGACCTACTAATATACAAACCAAGAAATCTAAGTAAAACTGGACGCGCACAAGAAATATCTGCAGACGTGTAACATTGCATGAGCCATAGTGTCCCCGATTATCATCAATGTATACAATAATATACATTTTATTAATTAGGCAAAAAAGGGGATGTATTGTGGTCTAGGTGGGTATATTCTAGCCTAGCTCGATTATATATGTCTTCTTCAAGTTATGTTTAAAAGCCAGAATTGGATGCAATTTTAAAACAGAAGGCAAACGTACTGTCGAAATACTGTTAAACACCGTGATTTTTTCTTTTCTTAAATCGGGCTTTTTAAATTTTTTTTCTTTGATTTCTGTTTAATGTTTCCTTCTGGCTCCCAAACAGAGATATCTAAGGACAGAAATGGCCCCACGACATTTTTTATTGAACCTTCTTATTTGAAAAAAAAAAATCCCACACATTTTGTGCTATTATTATTATTATTATTTTTCCTTTGATTTCTGGCGTATACACATTTCTTTCCCTGGGTCCCGCCTAGGGACCTAAGGTTAGAAATGGCAGCATTACACTTTCCACTGAAGAAAAAAAAAATTACATAGATAAAGCCCTTCGTAAAGTGTGGGCTGTACTTGTCAGAACAATTTTTTGTATCTCCTTGAGGCATGGACTTCCAGGAATCCCTTCAATTAGTCTACTGCAATCTTTTCCAACCAGTCCTAGTACTCCAACTACAACAGGGATTATTGATGTTCCCAGTTTTTCGAGATTTCTATTTCAAGGTCCTTGTATTTTGACAGCTTTTTGAATATCTTCAAAGATACATTGCAGTCAGCAGGGACTGCCATATCAATAAGGAGGCACTTTTTTTGTTTGTGGTCTTTAATAACAATATCTGGGCGGTTGGCTTTGATTGTTCTGTCAGTGTGTATTGTGTAGTCCCATAGAATTGTAACAGGTCCTATCTCCGTCACCGAGTCTGGATTATTATTATTATTATTATTATTATTATTATTATTATTATTATTATTTCCTTCGATTTCTGTTGTATATACATTCCTTCCGGGTCCCAACCAGAGACCTAAGACCTGAAATGGTTTCATGACATTTTTTCATGGATTATTTTTGTAAAAAAAAACACCCCCCCCAAAAAAAACAAAGAAAATAACTTAGATCACACACATTTTCATAGATAAAGCTCTTCGTAATGTGTTAGCTGTACTTGTGAGTACTATTTTTTGTATTTCTTTAAGACATGGGCTGCTGCTGCTGCCATTATTATTATTATTGTTATTATTATTATTATTATTTCAGTAACTTAATCTGACTCCTGGACAGCAGAAATAATTTATATATCAGGAAGCTCACACCTTGACATTACTTAAATTGTGGACCAGTGAACTTGAAGCTATGTGCCTGAAATATAAAATGATTAGCAGTTCTTATTACGGAAGTTTATCCTGAATAAACTGACAGCAAAAATAGTGTGTATTTTTGGAACTTCTCCCTAAAATAACTTATCAGCATTATCAGCTATTATTATTCATTATTACGCCACTCGCGCTTATTGGAGAAATATAAATATTGTCAGACGAATAAGAGCCAAGAGCGTATATAAGTGATGTCTGCCGACGTGAACGTGACGGCATTAAAATCTCTAAGTCGTAATTCAGAAGAAATAGAATTTCTTTGAATTACAAGAACTACACCTTTTTTTTTTGCTTATTTTTTTTTTTACTGTTAGGTTCACCCTGTACAAGGCCTGGGTAGAGGGTTACTGAGTAAAAGGCACTGTTTATGTGGATGGGTGGAGAAGATAACGATTAACCCTAGACTTGAACAGGTTAATATTGCAGTGATCGGGAAACCGTCTTCTTGAGTCAGTTCCACAGAGCACTGGTTCATGGGAAGAAGCTGCTCGAGAGGAACTCACTTCTCACTAACGCAATGCAAAACGAATGAGTGTGGTTCGCTACGATGTGTGTAGCATGGCGGGTCCTAGCCGTGGCAGAATTAAGGACTGTAGTTTCCGTGGGCTACTGCTTTCTGGAACCGACATCCAAGAGGGTGTCTACCCGATCACTACAATCTTCACCTGTTCAAGTCTAGGGTTAAAAGTTATCTTCCCCACGTATCTGTATAAACTGTCCGTTTACTCTGTAACCCTCTACCTTGAGTGACTCCCTGGCCTTATATTTAATCTAATTATTTAACGGTATAAGTATGTATATATATTTTTAAAGTAATTATTATTTATCAGAAAATCCCACTCGTCTTCGTATGCATGTGCACAGGTAGCCATATGCAGGCATATTCTTTACCTTTTGGATTGGGTTGCTTAATTTTAAAACATATAATCCTTTATTTACTTATTTAATATTGATATCCTTTACAAATCATATTTATGTCCGTGTTTATATGTGAAGCCATACATAAACATTAGGCACGTTTATACTTGAGTCCATAGGGGGATGCTAGGAGGGGTTATATTTAATGTATAAGCAAATATTGGTCGCTTTTATACTTGAGTCTATAAATGAACGTTTATTCTTGTCTGAACGCAAATATTTATCTGGTTTATACTTGAGGCAATGGAACTCTGCTCTCCGATTCTTCAACCCGAGCCGCTATCTATTACTCCACTGTATCTCCTTATTAGACTAGTTCCTGAAAAATTACCAAATCCCATAAAACCATTAATTAAGAAACACATGAAAAATCAATGACAGGAACAATGGAGCCGACAAACGCAAAATAAACTAAATACAATCGTACCATCCTCCAGGACCCCCCCCCCCAAAAAAAAACTGCCATTATGAAAAATCCCGTTATTATAACATGACAATGAATAGGTTACACTAATATTACACATTCATTCTCACTGAAACAAAAAGTACCGCCATGGTGTCCTACAATACCAATAAAATATTTTCTAATTGAATGCATTGATCTTGACTCCAAAAGACACAATTTCTTCAAGACAAACAGCCTAAGAGAACTATTCGAAAATATTAAAATAAACAGAATTAGAATATTCCTGAAATCAGTTGGATTATATTTGTTTT